ATCACGGCCACGGTAGCAGAAGCGCCTGCAATAGCATCCTCTGCTTGCACAGTTCATGTTGCATTAGCCTTATTGCAATGACCTCTGACGTTCTTAATAGGCATTTTCTAAGTCTTTTGTGTCTCGATTTGAAACGATGTAGAAAACTTCCTTGGTCACAACTTCATGGCCATTTTGGAATAGATGTTCCAAAATAGAGCTACTGACGCTTCAAATCACAATTCTGCTCTGTAGTGTTCTGCAATCCATTTCACCAAGTGTCTAATCGTGTGCCCTAGGTAACTTACACCACAAGTGCAGGTACATTGATATAGGATAAAGGATTCGGACTGGACCGGGAGTTTATCCTTAAGACGCTGGGTAATAAAGGGGCAGTTTCTGCAATCACATAAGGGTAGGCAGCAGGGAATAACTTGACTATCGCATTCGAGCTTCTCCGGTTACCTAACTCGAAGAGGACATCTCTTTCAAAAGACTGACAGATAGACATCCTTTTTTGGTACCGTCACAATCGTTTCTCTTCGGTCACGAATCACAGAGTGCCTCCGAATGAAAAGTGTGTGGTAACTATTTGCTTGTAGTGTACTAAAGATGTAGTCCTTTTCGCTTTCCAAAGTTTCTGGGTTACAAATTTTGCTCTCACGATAGTAGAAGCAACAAACTAAGTTTCGTTTATACTTTAAGGCTACGAAGCGGAGAAAATGTGTATTGTCCTATCCAGGCAGACTTTCGGTAGACCCTTCTCTGGAGTGAACCATCCTCTCGCCTGCTTAGCAGTATGTCCAGGAAAGCTAGCCTTCCCTCCTTTTCAATTTCCCTTGTAAACTTTAACGAGAATCCATGCTATTAAACTGAGCTAACAGATGGGCAACGTCAGCATTTGAATCACAAATTATGCACGTATCATCCATATACGTCCAGTAGGAATTGAGTGACACGATAATTGGTCGGAAAGGCCCGCATTCCAGCTTGGCAAGAAAGATGTCAACAAGCAACAGTCCTAGAGGCGATCGCATTGCGACCTCATCTCCCTGTCTCTAGTAGCATCCTTCAAACAAGGATTGCCTGTCAAAAACTTACTTTTTACTTTACCACGGCTAGCTCCTGCGACAGGGTGTGCCTGCTTCTTGAATGTCGCGAATTGCAGCTGCCCAAGCGCGGCGGTCGGCGGCAAGCTCCACACAGATACTGATCCAATGATGATGAGCACCGTGCACAACATGGAGACCCAGAAGATCGACATCCGATTTCACTGCAGTGATCCACCTTTTCAGTTGTCCACCACGGCGATGACACCAACCCTGGCAAGGCGAGAGTGAAACCACGGCCCTATCGAAGTCACTGTCTGGTCTGCGGAGGACGTGACCGGACCAATGAAGTCGGGCGTTGGATGAGCGTTGGGAGCTTCGGAAGACCGTAACAGCGCTTACAGATTTCACCATTGGTGATACGCTCATGCCACTACGTTTTCAAGATAAGCCTTAAACACCAATGGTCGGAGACTTCCAGCTCCCGGGTGTCTTCGGATCGCAGCGGCCGTGTTTTGCAACCATAGAGTAAAATGGCACGAATGGTTGCTGAGAATACTCGGATCTTCGTTCTCAGACTAATTTCCGTTCTTCGCCACAATGTGTTTCTCAATTGTAAGAAGGCTGTCACTACGATTTCGGATTTGGTCTGACCATTGCGGAGTATAGTAGATCCAAGATACTTGAACTGAGGAGCAGATTTGATGAGTTGTCCATGTAAGGAGAGCGACGGGGCGGACTGGGTGGCTAACGATGAGTAGTATTTTGTTTTGCTGATGTTAATTTCGGGGCCAATCATAGAGGCTGATTGGTCGACCCAATTTAGCAGTGATTGTATTGCGTCTTCCGCAAGGATAGCCATATCGTCAGCAAATTTAAGGTATTATAGCCAGAAGTCAGAGCTAACTTGAACACCACGATAGCCCTGCCTGACTCTAGTATTGATGTCGAATTTCTTTGTTACTTCTCCATAGACCAGAATCCGGGCCTTTGTACAACGATAATATGATCTCATCAAGTTAACGAGTTTAACCGGCACGCCATCGGCAAGTGGGATTCTACAGAGTGCCTCGCGCTCAACTGAGTCAAAAGCAGCACGAAAATCAACGAAGCACACAAACGTGGGCTGCTGGAACTGGTAACGGTGTTCGAGTACCCGAAGTGGAGTGATGATTTGCTCAGTGCAGCCTCTGCCTGGACGAAAGCCACTTTGGTTATGGCGAGTTCGCAGATTCCTCTCGTTGACAAAGCGGGAAAGCAAGATTCGTGCGAAGGTTTTGGCAGCCATATCGATTAGGCTAACTCCGCAATAATTACTGCAGTAGTACTGAGGTACTCCACAAGGAAGGGCAAATTTCGGTCTCCCATATCGAACACAAGAGCACGTGCAAATGGTCAAGGAGAGCTGGTAGACAAGATTTGTAGATTTCTACTGGAATTCCGTCCGCTCCCGGGCTTCCTTCGGCTTCAAGTGACGAACGATGTCTTCAATTTCTGTGGGAGATGGCGGTGAGCAATCCGCGTCACATCATGGCTGGGTTTATGCTGAAATGGATGCACGGATGTGTAGTGCGCGGTTTATGAGGTTGTTAAAATACTCTACCTATCCGGAAAGTTTTCCTTCCGCATCGGGGTTAATTTGGGCATCCGAAATGCACAATATCGGCTGTGGTGAATGGTGCTTGCTGGAAGCTAAACGGACGAGACGAAAGAGATGACCCAAATTGCCAGAATTTGATGCAGCTTCCATGTTGCCTTCGATATCAGACCACTAGCGGTTGCGATCATTCCGTTCTGAGAGAGTTGCCTTACGTCTCAAGCGACGCTAGTCTGGGGAATTCGTGAGACTTGATTCTCTGGCTTTAGCGGACAAGCGGATAGTATTTTCAGTGATCCAGTCCTTCACACGCTTAGAGGTAGAGCCCAGGGTAGATAAAGCGGCGCGTTAAACTGACGATTTTAGCATAGACTAACGAGCGTCTATAGATTCATCTTCTGCTATTACGAGACATGGTGCACTGGCAGAAATTTCTGCTTCTATTGCTGCCTCAAGGGATCGGCAGTAGTTAGTATTTTCCAGTGGGGCAGTGTTCATACGCTTTGGTGAAAGCGTCTTTCGGCGCGTTGTCAAACAGAGTCTGAACTTGGCCCGCAGGAGTACGTGGTCCAAACCACCTTTGTTGCCTGTTCCAGCCCCTCTGTACGCTCGACAGTCATCGATAGAGGACATCTACCGGGATCGGATTAAGATATAGTCTATCTGGCTTGCTGTACGACCATCGTCAGAAGATGCTACCTGGGATGCTGGAAGCGAGTATTGGTTACGCACAAACGGTTAAGATCAGCGAAGCTGAGTAAGCTGTCTCCATTACCACAGCGCTCTCCAAGGGCGTATCCCGAGTATGTGACTGGTTTGATCTTTCCTAAGACCGGTTCGTGCATTCCAGTCCCCAACAATAATGAGGATGTTGCGTTTTGGAACATGGTTCACCACTGTCTGTAGAGTACCGTAAAATTCGTCTTTATCGCTTTCTGCTAAGGGTAGGTTTGGTGCGTAGACAGAGATTATGGTCAGATTCATCGAGTGACATTTGAGGCATGCAGCTGCTATTCTAGCTGATACTGGCTTCTATGAAAGGAGATCGTAGTGTGCCTGGCGACTGAGAGCCGTGGCGACCCCTTGATTGCGAATATGAGGTGTTTACACCTGGGACTTTGATTTGTCGAGAGCCATAGCCGGGTATTCGAGATTCTGATACGCATGCTATTTTGATCTGGTAGTCATGTAGTGTGCGCATCACCAACGCTTGGTTGCCGACATCCAACAGGGTTCTGACATTCCAGCATCCAATAAATAGTGGGGGATTGAGGGACCCAGCTAGCTTACTTGCCACTCTGGCCACTGGGTTAGCGCAGAGCTCGTCGCCTACCGGGAACGCCGTAGCATGAGAAAAATCCCGGGTAACGGACATGTCTTGAGGTTTCGTGGGGATTATGGATTCGTACTAGGACCCAAACCTCATCCGGCTTTTGTTCGAGGGTTCACCTCTAGCCTTTGCACAGCCAAGTGCTACCTGCAAGGCAGCAGGGATCTGGGAAATTGTCTTAACTTCTGGTCGTTGGATCAAGCGTCGATCTCTTCCACCCATTTGTCAGGACTGACGTTGCCTGTCAAAAATGCATCGTATGATCAGTTCCTTCAAGTTAAGCATTGGGGTACCAAAATCTACATGGTTCTCTGCCATGTATTCAGGTGTGTTTTTAAGTATTGTATGCAGTTCGGATACGTAATCCGATCTGTCCATCGAAACGCATCCTGCGCCTTTGTCTGCTCGGGAAATGATCAATTCGTAATTCGATCTCAGTTCTTTGACAGCATCTCTATGTCTCATAGACATGATGTTGGAATATTTGGTCTCATAGTCCACATATTGTTGACGTAGATGCACCAAAGTAGTTTTGAAGGTGTCGCTGTCGAGGAAAGAAGTGGGAGCCAATCCGGACAATTGGTGCATTAGATTTTCCAAGTGGGACTCCAGATGAACTTACCCATGTCCCGGCTGAGAGTAGCACTTTTGGACTGAATCCTAAAGCATCTAATTGTAACTGGTTTTATTGCAGGCTGGATATGTTGTGGACATCTCTTTCAGGTTGTGCTGGAAAATTTGTTTCTGGTACAATCGGTTGCAAGCTTTTCAACAACCTTATGTATTTCATATCATCGGCCTTTGCATCTAGTTGTTCAGTGTACCGTTTAAAGGACTTACCAAGCTCATCATCAATCAGACTCATCAAGCTCCTCTACACTATTTTGAAATTGTGAACAAAGGCGTTCTAGCTCCGGAACTCGTGACTGAACTGCATCCAACGGATTATGAGCGTGATGCCTCAGTGTAACCATTGTATTAAAGCCACCTAAGCCAATTCTGCTACTTTTGACACCGTTTGTTTGATTTCATTTATTCTACTTAGGCGACGACCCCATCCGTCGCTGACGCAGCGCATACCAATGCGGCGCGCACCATACAGTCCAGCCTGACACAGCAGATTGCCTCTTTGATTACCTCGGCCACAAATGCCGCCACTGCTGCTGCCGCTGGTGGCTTTGATCTACGGCCTTTCAACGTGTTCCTTTCGACTCCACCTATCCACGTGAACTCGGCTGCCGTTATACCAAATGTTCCAACTGCCGAGACCGACACTAACAGTGGAACCACAGCATCCGGACCGTGGCAGTCCTTCTCTTGGATGTTTGGCCGTGATAACCCCCCGCCTTCTGCTGCGCCCTCCAATTCGTCGCAGCCTACCCCAGGTATGTCGTCTAGTCCGTTCATTTTCTTTACGATAAACCGTCTGATTTTGCAATAGTATTCAAAGAATGCATCATGGAATTTCGCATGTATCCACTGTGAAAGGTTTGTGGATTGTATTTTGTTCAACCGTCACCTGATTCTCTCCTTCGCGCATCTAAATATCTACAACGTTTAGTCGCCATTTTGCCTTGATCCACTTGGATCGATTCTCTGGGTGTTGTGTGTGTTGGCATCTTTCCCATCATACTCGATCCAGCTGTTGCGTCTCCGTCGGAAGGCACTTGTGTTCGACTGAACGCACCATAATTACCTGAATACAAGTTTGACGTATGGATGTTAGGATCACATACGAATGCGCGTATACACCATTTTCTTATTTCGCTCTAGGCCAGGTTGGACGACCCATTTTCGAACCATTGTTGCGTTCGTGATACAAACACAAGTAATTGTTCACTCATATTAACCACTATAAACCATTAGAATTAATGACAAGGCTCGCACATACACCCGACGATTTGAGTAACGTGTTAATATCTGGACTCATTTACCACGACGTGTGGTTTCATGGCACCGAAGCGCCAGTGCGATGTGTTGGTGTGTTACTGTTGTTTTTTGACCAGTTATGTGTCTACTCCCATGAAACCTTATACTTGTTGCCTGTCCGTGACTCGAAGACCTCTTCACAAACGACATGATTGTTTGATGAAGCAGTTTACAACAGTTCACCACTGGACGTGCGCATGTCATCATCCTGGAATTGTTAGTCGAACTCATCACAATTTCATCTTAGAATGTGGTGGAATGTGCGATTCATGTTCTATCGCCTGTCATCTCCACTGTTTCATTTTTGTAAATTTCAGTGCAGCAAGATTCGAATCAAACGCTGCACCCTGTGCTGACTACACCGTCTTGGGGACGTGGGACTGGCGACACGCAGCTGTTGATGCTAACCGGTTCTAATCGTATTCTCAACGTTTTCATTGAAGCCCTCATCGAAACTATTTGGTCTCGTTTATCTAGACTGGCGAACAGCGGTGGAGATTGTCCCAGTGGTTGGTTACTCTGCACTTATATTCACTCTCTTGTATTTTTAACATTTCACGATATCTTCCTCCTTATCGCGATGTTTGCTGATCTAAACACTATTCTGTTCCATTTACTTAGTTCAGTTTAGTTCGTCTGAATGATTGTGATCCGGATACCGAAGTACGGTGAATCCAGCTGCGAAAACTCACATCGCCAGGTAACAATAATTAGCAACAGCAAGAAAATGGGGTTAATTGCAAATAGAATGTAGTGAAAATTGAATCAAGTGGGAATTGCGTTAAATTGGTCTGGATTAGATGAAAACTAACAGCTGAATGCAAGAAGCTGAACGTAGGAATGCCACTAACTGCACCATGTCTGAAGGGTTCTATCAACATTGGTGTGGACCATCCCTGGGCCACTATCTACGAAGACGGCATGCATAATCCATACTGCGCTGCCCCATGAAAATTCACTCTCCACTTCAGTCTGGTAGACAATCACATAATCAGATAAAGCTCGACTGAAAACACTGATCACATTATGGCAATGCCGCTATCTCGCTTAATCTGATGTTCTTTGGGAATTTAGAGCGGTTTATTTGCACTGAACACTTGTGACTCTGTTGACTGATGCACAAACAGCGGATTCATTTGGGCCGGTAGCACACCCTGCGCAACGGATTAAACACTCATGATGCATTTTTCTTTCGATATCAGGCTGCTTCTGTGCTGCGGTATGGTTATTGGGCTTTGCCTGTCGTTTTCATCAACCCCGTGCATCTCTCTTCATATCTCTTCGCGATTGAGCATGCTACCCTAGGCACGATCGCGACCAATTTCTTATTTTGTCGTTTTCTTTAGGTAGATTCGTCCGAATTGCGAAGCTACCTCGCAGCTAGAGTTTACCCGTTGACGTTATTCTCACACCACAACTGCTACTGCCTCGTATTCAGTTTCAAATAACTGCTTCAGTTGCTAACCCACTCACGGATTTTTGCGTCAGCCATTGTCCACATAAGGATTTCGAATCGCTTTTGGCTCACGCACTATTACTGTGACAAAACAACACTTACTAATGAGCAGGAGGATTTTTTAATTGTAATCGTAATGTTTCTGTCCCAACTGCTCACAAGCTACATAGCATAGCCTAATCCGGAAAATCACCAGACGCGTTTCGCCATGCTGGGGATTGCCAGTAGTGTGCATTCCCTCGGTCGCCTACTGGGGATCGAACCCATGATGGCTAGAGGCAGATGCCAACTAGCGAGCAGCTTAAGCCACTGAGTGATGGAGGACGTCGGCTGGGCTACACAATTTGCAAGCGAAGCGAATGCGCATAACTGACAAGCCCCAATAGGGCGAAGCGCTTCTGGTGCTTTTTCGCACTAGGCTGGGTTATGTAGCTTATGAGCAGCTGAAACGAAAACATCACAATTACAAAACAACAATTCTTTTTCTGTCAATTGAATTTTGTTATATGTTCTGTTCTAGGACTGAATTTTCATAATTATGCATCCGAATCATTGACTGTTTCTCCCCTGTTTCTTTCTAGCTTGCTTTTCTGTCTGGAGTGGAAGCCAGTCCATTAACACGTCTAATCAAGAGATCTCCGTTGGTTTGCTAACGGACATGTTGACTGTTGCTCGAGGTATGCTCTCCACAAACGCATCTGATGACGTATCGCCGTCTTCCTTGGATGCTATGCGCGTCCATTTGCGCCATCTGATAAACTACGCCGACTCTTTGCTCACAAATAAGGATCGCTTGGCCGAAACGATTGTAGAATTGCTCTTCGATGGGAACACTTCCGATGAAACGTTAAGTGCGGAAAGTTCAGAAGCACACGCAATTAGTTGGGTAAAACAACGCTGCGAGGGTGGTGATGATCATCTGATTGACGTCCGTGCTTCATTAGTTCGTCTTTTCAAAGTGAGTCTTGAGTCGTTTCCCTCTACCTGATTCTTTTTCTTCACCGGAAACAGCGCAAAGCCGCTGTGCTCCCCAGTCTCAAGTATTCAGTATACCGTGGCATCCTTTCATATCCTCCATGTTGCTTCTGTCAAAAACTCAAATGTTTAACAAAAACCGTATATGCAGTCTGGTTAACTATCTTGATCATTGTACGTGTGTGCTTGCCCCATCATTCCTACCAGTAATCATTGTTCCACCCGTGATCCCGTTCTGACTGCCTGAACATTTTAAGTTCCCGTTTATGGTTTTCCCCACGGACTAATAATACGACACCCGTTTAAGGATCTCTGGATCTATACACCTCTGTGTAGTATGTTACTTTATCCCTATTCATAATGATATTTATTTCATGAATTCTAATTCCAGGCCAACCTCTCTGCCCAAATCGAGTTGTGGCGCACCAGCCCAACAAACTTTGGCTTCGGATCCACTTTATTATGGACGATAGCGGATTTTTGTGTGGATTGTTTTTGCATGGTGGACCTAATTTCCAGTCAACTGGCCAAAATAAGTGGTCTGCAAACAGCAACCACCGCCTTCGACGGGTTAGATCACTATAATCTTTCCGATCCTCGAGAGTTCCATACGCTGATCGATCGACTTAACGCTTTCGCTGAAACGCTATCGCGTAAGTCTACATCTGGGTATTCTCATCACTATTTCATTCCACCTTTTCGTCCTTCGTATGTATACTACGATACAGGTGATTCGAGGTTGAATTAGCAGAATCTCGTCATTGGTGCAAAGTGAGCAGCCTGCGTGGGCAAAGATTTCCTTTGCCGTTAAAAATGCACACTTTAGGACACATGTGGTACGAATTTCGTACCGAACCTTGTCATTCATTTTGCGCTATTTCGTTATATGTTCGGTATCATTCGTACGTTGACTTTTGTAACCGTTCGCCGCAGTGCGTCGTATCAAGCGAATCATACAGCCTTGTTTACTCTGAATTTTCATTTCATGAAGTGGTAAGCGTGCATGATGAAGCTAACCAGATTGCTACACGTCATCTTCCAGTATGGGACTCAATTGACAAGCCATCTCAATAGCTGCAAACTTTATAACATTTGCGCGATCTCTAAGGCAATGGTGCTCATTTCTTCTGTTTATCTCTTCTGACCTGTGGCCTAATGGTGGTATCTCATCTATTATTTTTTTATTTATTTTATTCCTTCTGATTTATGCATTTTCTTATGTTCTCGGTGTCCTTCAATCAATCACAATATCAGCACACGGAAGCTGAGCAGACGAACAAACACTGATGAAAGATGTATCTCCTGGTGGGAAAACCCGGAGAAATTGAACGTAGTACAGTGGAAAGGAAAGAACGTCACAGTCCAGGATAGGATCAGTGACCAGCTGAAATGGAGGAAAATATGGTTGTAGTTAATGAACAAAAGCGTCAACAATGGAGTGAATTCATTTGGAGGCAGCCCTCCTAGCACCTCCACTTGGGATTGGATGTTCCTATGATTGCTGTCTTGGATCCAGCTGCATAGGCACAGGCTGTCGTCTGATTCGAGCTGTCTATCTTCTCGGTGTGTAATCGACTGTATGGACTAGTTGAGTGGTTTGTTCCCGGGTTTCGGACCTCTGCGGGAGCTCAAAAGTATCCAGGTGAATGTGATTGGAAAATTAGGATTGTGAGGCGTTGTTTGGCAGGGGGACGAACACATGTGGTTGGCATGGCGCACCCATATTGAGGAGTGTACATCCACTTCATAAATTACCTGGCTTGTGCAGCCTACAACCAGACCTTGCGTCCACTTTTCATCGCTATCACGATAATCTTTAGCCAACACAGATTGTCCATTGTGAAACGTGCGATTCATGACACCGTGATGATGGTTGAAATGGTTCTTCATGCGGAGGTTTCGATCAATCGGCGGACATGAGGCTGGACGAATGACATCGTGGGGTAAACGTAGCTTCTAGTTCATTAAAATTTCTGCCGGTGAGTTTCAATTTAATGTATTAACATTTGGCGTTGACCTGTAACTCAGTAAGTAGGTTTCAGTGATATCCTGAATAGTTCCATCCCCTTTGAGCTTTAACAACGATCACTTGAAAGTGTCAGCGCAACGTTCTACTTGGCCGTTGGACTGTGGGTGGAATGGCGGCGATCAGATATGCTGCATACTGTTTTGTTCACAAATACAGAGAATTCTGCGGAAGTGAACGCTGTGCCGTCGTCTGAGACAAGCGTCCGTGAAAACCCAAAACGGCTAAACACATGCTGTAGCTTTAAGATGGTAGCACGAGTTGTAATACAATCCATGGTGAAAACTTCCGGCCATTTACTGTAGGCATCAACCAGGAGCAGATAGTGTTGGCCATTGATTGGTCCGGCAAAGTCAACATGAAGTCGTGACCAAGCGGTATCTGGTACTGACCATGAGCACAATTCCGTTTTTCGAGGGGATTTTGCAGACAGTTGGCATTTCGAACAGGTTCGGACAAGTTCTTCCAGCTGCTTATCCATGTTCGGCCAATACACGTAACTGCGTGCTAAGGCTTTCATGCGATTTATTCCAGGGTGCCCGAAGTGAAACTGCTTCAGAACACATTCCTGCAAATTTGTAGGTACTACAACATGTTCGGCAAAGAGAATACACCCATCGAGAATATACCCATCTGCCAAAGAAGAACGATGTTGGTAGAACGGTTGAGGTTGATGAGGATAGGACAATGACGGTCAGTGAGTGCTACGAAAACGAATAACTTCCTGTGGCAACGGATCATGAGCAGTGGACTCACGAATCATAGAAGTAACTGGTAGTACGCGGACCGAAATAGCAAGCACGAAGCTTATTTCTGGCTTTACGGATGCTGACACGACGGGCAGTTGACGGTGAGATTCCATGAGTCGTGACAAAGCATCTGCCTAGCCAGTATCTTCAGTCGAATAATCTTTTATGGAAAAATCATACCCAAGTAGCATAGTAGACCATCGTTGAAGTCGATTAGCTGGCACACCTTTCTTGGATACCGAGATACCGAGAAAAGGCTTGTGATCTGTTATGATTGTAAAAACTTTTGAAATTTTGATAGCGAAGACAATGGCTAGGTCTTTTTCGATCTGACCATAATTGTCTTCCGTAACAGTTAGTGATCTGGCCGCATGAGCGATTGCTTTTTCTGAACTATCTGTGAAAATGTGAGTGATGACAGCTCCGATTCCGTAATTGGAAGCGTCTGAAACGACAACTGTATTCAAAGCAGGGTAGTAATGTATGAGAAGCAAGTCAGAACTCAGCAGCGATTTAACTTTGTGAAACACAGTCTGGCATTCTTTTGACCAGTTCCACAGCATATCCTTTTTAAAAGATAGTTGATTAGGCCTCAGACATGATGCATATTCTGTACGAAAGTACTGTAATGGCTTACCAATCCGAGAAAAGATCTTAGGGTAGTTATATCAGCCGGTAGGGACATTTGTTGGATGGCAGAAATGTTTTCTGCATCAGAATGACAACCACTTTTCTCGAAACTAAATCCGAGATACTTAATGGAGTTTAAAAAGGAAACCTTTTTCTGCACCAAGACGAAAACCATATTGTTGAATTCGATAGAGGACGCGATGTGACAGTTCTCCCTGACTACAGTCAATGACGATGATGTCATCAAGGTAAGCAGCTACTCTTGATAGCCCGTTAACATGGAATCCGTTGTTTGATGGAATATAGCTGGTGCCGATTTTACACCAAATGGTAAACGGTTAAATTGGAATAATCCGCGGTGTGTGTTAATCGTAAGGAGCTCTTTGTAATCATCCATGACTTCTATTTGCAGGTATGCATCGGCGAGATCCAGTTTCGCTAAGCAGGTGCCACCATTGACTTAGGTGAACAAATCCTCTGGAATTGGTAGTGAGTACTGATGTGAGTCTACCACAGAGTTAAGTCCAGTAGAGTTATCGGCCCATATACGTACTTTGCCATTTGCCTTTTTAACGATAACAATAGGAGCTGCCCACGATGACTAACTGACAGGCTGATTGTTAAAGACGATCTAGTTCTTTATCTACCGTTGTTAGAGCGGCATATGGTACTGAACGTTTCGGTCTAAAAACCGGTATAACATCTGGTTGTAGTTGAAGACTGGCCTTGAGCTTGGTGCAGCAACCGAGACCATCCTGGAAAACCTGTGCAAATTTGTCCTTAAGTTCATTTGGGATTTGCTCTGTGATCTGTGGAGTTGTGGTCAACTGCATACTTTTGCGTAGGGGTGAAAGCGGGACATCGAGGAGTCCACGCTTTTCAATCTAATCAAGTTTAGATTGGGGCAGTCGGTGATATAACATGTTCTTGAGAAATGCACATTGTTGATTAGTTCTTCAGTCAACAGTAAAGTACTACCGGATGCATTCCGTGCATGGTGATTGGCGATTGACAGTGCTGGTTTACCGATTAACTCCCAGGGGGAACGTGCGATCAACGTAATGTCCGAAGCTGTGTCAAGCTGAAGGCGGACTGGGATATCATTGACGAGAACTGATAAGTACTTTCTTCTAGATTCGAAATCGACTTTGAAGGTTGCAAACACAGGATTCGACCGAGGACGTTTTGTTTTCGGACATTTGTCTGGCTGAACTGTGGACGCTCTTTTGCATGGTTGGTTTCCTGACATTTATGAAACGACAAAAGCCTTCTTTGTGGTCCCATCGGTGACATTGCTGGCACTGATGTTACTTGAAAGCACAAAAATGAGCGTAGTGCCATTCATCACATGACCAACATGGAGTTGGTGGCTTTTTGTCGGGCTGGACAGTTGTTCGTGTCAATGTATAGACGCTACTTGATGCTGGTGCTCTTGATTCTTGCACCATGGCGGTATCGTGCTTAGGACTGAGCAGATGTTGACATTCAGTGATGAGAGATTTTTCGCTGATATCTCAGTGTTCCAGTTTGGAAAGCAGTCGAGTGCACACGTCCGACTCTTGGGGAGAATGAAGACCAGAAACAAAAATCAAACATTTAAACCGATCTTCGGCGACTGTCTGCAATTGAAACTTTTCGCACTCACGGTTTACGATGCCAACGTAAGTGATGTAATCGTCTGCATCACGCTTCGCCAACTTAAGACAGTTGTACCGGACGTTGAAAATCGAAAGCTGATCGCTGAAAATCTCGCGTAATTGTTCCACTGTGTGCACAAAATCAAGATCTTTGGGTTGCTTGGGAAGAATGAATTTAATGAAACGATCGTGCTCGACTGTTCCAAGTTTCTGGGATTTCCACGAGTCATCTTTATCCGTAAACTCATTCTCAAATGTATCCTTGCAGCGTTTGTACCACGAATCGGAAGTGAGACCGGATGTAGGCTTGTATGGAAACTGAGATAGAAGCTACAATGGCATCGCCTAAGGATACCGGGCTGTTACTTGTTGATGAAACTGTTGGTTGAAGAGAGAGGGACTGAACAAAAGTTTGAATGAGTCGCAATTTAGATTGCTCGAACTGCATTTGTTGATGCTGGAGGATTGTTTTCAAATCCTAAGTTGAAAATGAGATAATTGAATCCGTTTCAGAACCCTGTTGCCAGTTTTATATTCTTACTGTCCTTCATTCAACCACAAATTCGACACACGGAAGGTAAGAAGACGAACGAGCACTGATGGAAGATGTATCTCCTGGTGGGAAAGCCCGGAGAAATTGAACGTAGTACAGTGGAAAGGAAAGAACGTCACAGTCCAGGATAGGATCAGTGACGAGCTGAAATGGAGGAAAATATGCTTATAGTTAATGAACAAAAATGTCAATGAAGGAAATGAATTCATTTGGAGGCAGCCCTTTAACACCTTTTTAACCTATTACTATTATTATTATTATCATCATTATTAAAGTGGTGTTTTTGGCATTTGGATCCATCGCATCTCGGTGCTCGAATCAGTGTTATAACCGAACCGAGCTAGCTAGGGTCAGTTTAGTGATCAGTCTGGGTGTCCATGTAATGCCGTGACAGAGGAACACAATGAACCTCGTGAAACGAGTGTGTCGCGTCACAACATGTAGCCTTCGAAACCGACCAGATCATTTGTCGAAGACTCGCTTGGCCACTGTTTGCTGAAGAGCTCAACGATACGCCAAGCGACGCATCCTACATTTTGTTTGCTCTTGTCGATCTCCGTTTACTTCTCCTTCATCATTGTTCTTACAGCAATATCATTTAAGGCTACTTATCACACAGATTTGTGCACTCAGATTATAGTCGACTACCGGAGCTGATGTTTCAGTTCACCTAATCACTGCAGCGCAGATAATTTATGAATTCCATAACAGTTCTTGTTGCCGGACATTCTTATGATGTCTTTTCGGTAGGAGCAAATTGCTGCTCCCAGAAGTCAATCTCATCCATATGCTCAGTTCACTTCTTCTCTTCATTACCAATATACACTTTAGTTAGAGGTGAGAAACACAGTTGTACCGCAATACAAAGAAAAGACACACAGGAACATCAGCCGAGCCACCATTAACGGGTGGACATCATTCCGAGAGATAGCAGCCGACTATTGTGCTTCAAAAAATGTTATATTATGTGTCAGAAATATGGTCGTGGTTGGAGGAAGAGGCTTAGCAGGAGGGGGAAGGTCAAAAAAACTCGCAGCACAAAGGCCACTCATTCCGACTCCTAGCCATGTCAACAAGTGTATCCAACCAAACGTGTTCAACATTGTTAGGGCCCCAACCAAGGAGCTGAATAGCTCTACGTCTGCCAGCTTCGAACAAAGAGCCTTCATTCGTTTTGGCCAAGTCAGCTTGGCCTCCCCTCCTCTTCTTCCCGGGCGCGTAAACAACTTACTTCGCGCAACATGTAGGGCTTTCCTACAAACCTACTGTAATGTGCTGTTAAATTGTTCGCCCTTTTTCATTCTCCATCACCGGATATTCCGTAGCAGTCGCGTGTAGTCATGCTCCTCAGACCGTTATGTGCTTCCCATTGTGATTGTCATTGGGGTATGACCGCACTCCCTGGTCAAGCACCGACGTGTTGCTGTCACTGCGGTTGTTGTTCATTAAGGTTAATGGGTCTCCGTTCAAAATACTGCAACTTCTACCCTTTGGAACGGAAAGTCATCACATTCATTTGATGCAGCAGATTTGGCTCGTGCGTTTTCCCTTTCAACGCCTGTAAGGCTCTCCTCGACTCCCAAGTAACTTCTGACTACAGAAGGTGATGTTTCACATGTGCTTGATTGTTTAGCGACTGAAGCTTTTCAGCTTCGAAGTTAGCATTTGTGATGAGTTAAAAATTGGCTCTCAGGGATTTAATGTATTCATCCCAATAGTTCACAAGCTACATAGGAGAGCCCAGTCCGGAAAAGCACCAGACGCGTTTCGCCTTATTGGGGCTCGTCAGTGGTGCGCATTCCCTCTCGGTCCCCTACTGGAGATAGAAACCATGACCACTAGAGGCAGATGTCAACTAGCCAGCAGCTTAAGCCACTGAACCATGGGGGACGTTGACTTGGCTACCTTATTTGCAAGCTAACTGGGATATAGTACCACCTATATTCCACTGCCACAGACAGTGGCTAGCCTGCAAGGTGATGACGTCCTCTGGCTAGACACTATATCCATACCATTCGATCCCCAGTAGGGGACCGATAGGGTATGCGCACCACTGACGAGCCCCAATAGGGTGAAACCCGTCTGGTACTTCTCCTGTCTAGGCTGTGCTATGTAGCTTGTGAACTACTGGGATGATTACCTTAAAAATTACAACTAAAATCCTACTACCTACAAACAATATAAAATTAATAACCTTATTTCAAATGCTATGGATATAGCGTCTGGCGAGAGGACATCATCACCTCGCAGGCTTGCCACTGTCTGTGGCAGTGGAAAATATGTGGTGCTATATCCCAGTTAGCTTGCCAACGTCCTCCATGGCTCAGTGGCTTAAGCTGCTGGCTAGTTGGCATCTGCCTCTAGTGGTCATGGTTTCGATCACCAGTAGGGGACCGAGAGGGAATGCGCACCACTGACGAGCCCCAATAAGGCGAAACGCGTCTGGTGCTTTTCCGGACTGGGCTCTCCTATGCAGCTTGTGAACTATTGGTATGAATACATTAAAACTTACAACTAAAATTTTCCTACTTACGAGTAATATTATGGATTAAGTCTGATAGATTCCGGCTAATCAATGTAAAATCACTGCTGACATCCTAGTCACTGTCGTCAACGCAATCTGCAATTTGTTTCGGCCTCTCGAAGAAATCTTACTACGGTATTCGGTCAGTACTTGGATTTCACTTTTAATTTCCATTTCATCCTGACTAGTTTAACGCACTTCCTACTTGTATCAATTTTCTTTGCATTATATTCTCACCGTTGTTTTTTGTTGCCCTGGCGATGTGAGTCGTGACAACTAGATCCACCACCTTTCAGTGGCCCACCTTATACTTGTTCAGCTGTACTGAATTGTCATTTACTGTTTCTCATCATACTTTCTCAACCCTTTCCTTTATCCTCAGATTCACAAACAGATGCACAATTCGTTAGATTTGTTCTGGCTGGCGTCAATCGGTGCATTGACCGGTACTCATCCATGGATCAGAAGGCTATAAGTCGCAGATGGGACCGTCTTTCACACGCGTGTATTGTGCGCCGCCGCCTGGCGGCTCCTAGTAGTATGGATGTAGATGACCTGCAGAATCAGCTATGCGCTGATGACACCGATGTGGAAGATCTACCGTTCGTCGACGCGTCTTCTGACTTGGCCGGCATAGATGGTCAATCTGTGGCTTCTGGCTCTACACAGCCCCGGGACCAGGCAAATATGAATGACATCTCGCGTTTGCGTCGACCGAGTCGAAACAGGCTTAGTGTTGATTCTGCCTCAGGGAAGGTGTCTCCTCTCCCCGAATGGGCACAGATTTCAACTGGATCCACGGAAAATTGGATAGAATGCTTGAGTCGTCACCCGGACACCTCTCACTCCTTGCCACTTTTGTCTCCTCAATTGTCCCCCGAGGGTTGGCACGCCGTCTTACCCAGCGATTGGATAGACGTCGTCGCAGCAGACATTGAAACTATGAACCGATCACAATCACTCAACGGTGCTCCCGACATACGCTTCAGTGATGCGTACATTGCCGGAATGCCAGCTAAGCGGCGCAAAGTCAGTCTAACATCTTGCTCTTATTTGTTGGCCTACTACCAATCTTAATCATTATATGCACACGTCCTGTTGTGGTCTCAGTGAGTGACTTTGTCAGTGATGAACCAAATCTGAAGCATAAACTAAACAAAACTGGGTAAAGAGAGTTACAACCGACTTAGGGGTGTAATCATCTAGAAATCGAATGCTAAGCGTCAATACACCCATCCTACCAGGTAACAGCGTATTCCGCATCACTGACTTTGCTGGTCCGCTCGAGAACTAGACTGTTCTTCACATGGCTTTCTCATGCTCTCATCAGAACACCAACTACTGCAGCTAGCCATAACCATAACACACTGATGCAGTTCATCGACTTGAGGCGAATTTATCGGGTCATCTAATGGGATAAAGCAACGTGGTTTACCAACGCACGTTGCATCACCTGCCTGAAAGCCCGGTGAAAAAAGTGGGTGCTATTTTGCCCCTGCTGCTGACATTCATAAGCACATAGTCAATCATTGGAAACTCTCCGTCTCACTTGCCAGATTGTCTCATTGTTTCAATGATCGGTTAAGACTCTGGGGTGCTACTTTACACTGTAACACACGCGACGCTGTTTTTGTTGCGTTTGTCACCACAGTTGCTCGGTTGTCCAAGTTGTCAGACTAATTAGTTGTTTCAAGCTGTCATCCGGTTATCATGTGGGTACTGCGCCTTAGCTGTGAATTAGGATAACAAAACATTCTCTTGATTAGGAGCTTTTTGATTTACTTTTTGCCGAGAATTCGTCACAATAACTTCTAAGTCAAATAGTCCTCCATACTCTCGTAGAACCATTAGATGGTCGTTTCATCCAATTGAATACATTCCCTTTCTGCATCAGAAACGAAACCTATTACTACTAGCGACTTTTGCCACCGGTAGGTAGTAACGACGCTTTGCCGCTGCGCAACCACCAGCAGTGACACGTGGGTCGCCCGGTCCCCTGCGGCTTGTGATCCATAAGGTCACGCGCCGGCTCGCGCCACTAACCCCCAGTTTATGCCACTAAGCCACGGGGGATAGCTTCGGAGCGCAATGATTTGTAGGCTAACTGCGACATAGGGACCTATCCTACACTACCATACAAGTTACGAACGTTGCAGAGAACATGCCTGACCCCCATAGAACCCGTGACTCCTTGGGGCCAACTCTGCTGGCTAGTCACGCAAGCCGCTAGCCGTTATAGCTTCGCTTCCTAATGAAACAGGGAGTTGTGTTAGACTGTGGAGTCCCAGTAGAGCGAAATGTCCGTCTAGTGCTTTTCCGAGTGAATCCTCAACAACATATTCCCCATATCAGTTTACCAAAAAAGGAAAACAGCGAAGGAAAGCAGACAGTTCCACAGTCGGTTAAAGGCAACTTCTGGGGGTGGTGGCGGCTGAGAATCGGGGTGTGACATGAGTTTGTTTCGTTGTCACCTACGTCCTGTTTATTCCGGTGCCTTTTTCGCATAGACTAGATTCAAGTTGGACTAATGTTTCCCTGATAAGGTCGGTGCATACTCCAGCAATTTCTGCGTTTTCGAAACCACTGCTAAGTATTAGTTGTTAGATATTTTCACTATGCTATCTAAATGCTCGTTTCTATGTGTCGAGTTGTGTATTGTGCAGAGTGCCTACCCTTGTAAATGAAGACTCGACTCAATACCTCCGCCGGCATACATTTGATTGAACTCATTACTTCTGCCCTTTTAGGTGATGCAAGAGCATTCTCGAGCTTTGGCACAGCCACCGAAAACATTTTTTGCCGATTGCCTTTCTGATGCGATCCGCTCCAGTGGATGCGATCCTTCAGCTTCTTCGGATGAAAACTTGCAACCTGATTCTAAATCAAATTTGACTTGCGACTCGACAGGCAGAATTCTCTCGAGATCTCACAGCCCTGTTTCGGAGAAGGATCTGCAGCTAGTTCACTGTCTTCGTAATTTGGTATCTGAACGCATTGGGGATCGGCTGATAGCTGATCCGGACTTCGATCCCGTTCATTTCCCAATCTCCAGCAAGATTTTCCTTAAGAAGCAGACTCCGAAGGACTAACGTATATTACAATGCTCATTGATTTCTTCTCTGCATGATATGTATTGTCCGCTGAAGAAGCAGGGCAGCTTGGAGTCCTCGAGACGTTTATGTGGAAATGTATAATTTCTGCATCTCATTTGTCCTTTTTAAATTAACCCAGTTTGTATAATCGTTTGCTTCTTGTTCGTTGCTGTGGTTCTTCATTTAACCTTTGACTGCGATGCGCTTGCTGCCAATGAACCACTTAACCAACTCTAGACGTAGTTAAGGGATCATCCATTGCCCATGTGGTTTATTAGGCCTTGATACATCTGTGGTGCTGAAATCGCTGACTTTCCAGCCATTTCTAGTCGAGTTTCACTTTTTCGCATCATGCGATCTCATATCCCTTGGCGCCATCTGCGGTGGCATTGTATTGGCTCCGATGGGTTAAATCCACTATAGGTTTGTCCTGGTCTCGCATATCCGTCCGTGGTTTTTTGTGTGCAGGAATTCCCTATCTATATACTTTTCACACTTTGAATGAGAATAATTATTTCCCAAGCTGTCACGCACGCGCGTATATCTGTCATGTTCCCGTCCCACAACGTAACGCACGTGGGAACTTACCACCTGTCACATTAGTGCATCATTTCCCCCCCCAAATTGGTGGTTCTTGGCCGCCTGTTTAACGCGTATCTTCGCTCCCGTAAATCGCATTCCGACCAACCCGGAGTTATTCTGAAGCTGTTGGTTCGCTTGATCGCGGTTACGTTCCTCGATTTGCGGTTTTTCCTGGATCACCGACGAAAGCGTTTCTGTTTGATTTAGTGACCTTTCGGCGAGTAACCTCACTGTTCTCCTTGGCTCAGGCTCGCTAATGTTCGTCGCTCGCGATCCGCTCTCTGCTCGTTCTGTGGAGCTTGCGTTGAACCGTCTGATCTCGTCCATAACGCCTGTACCTGTTTCTGTCGTCACTAGTTCTAGTAACTTGCTAGTATTCCGCGTGCTCTTTATTTTCCGCGCCATTACAACATAACCAGACCAGGTTACGGGCTTCGAGAGCGAGGAATTTCGAACCTGTTCAGAGAAACTCGGTATCAAGAAAGGGCGGACAATCTCTCACCACTCGCAGACAAATGAGTTGACGAAACGAACCAATCGAACGAAATAGATTTGTCAGATTGCAACCTGATCACCGGACTACCAAGCTGGCGTCCATTCATTTCAAATTTCAAAACAAGCTCACACATCTTACCGAATGACTTCTTAGGAGGAGCATATTCCTAGGAATCGATCTGTGGACTCTATATCGACCAAAACCCAGTGACACTTTTTGAATGACCACTGGCGATCATAATCCCATTCATCATACTGCCAGCAGGTTGTTTGGAATTCATTGGATAGCAGAGAGCAGAACGGAGATACAGTAAAACCTCCAAAGTTGACCACCCCTCTATGTTGACCACTTTTTCACAGGTTGAACGATCACTACGTACGCCCAAACCTCTGTATGTTGACCACCGCTACAAGTAGGTTGACCACTTGGGTCCTGACAGTCAGGAATAATTCAACCTCTGTAAGCTGACCATTTGAGGACTTACCATCCCCCTAAGAACATGTGTCCACTCATCGCACAGGCCGCAATCAAGAGTTTGAGTGACGGTCAAAACCTCGATTAGCCACCGGATCTGAGCAGCAGTTCATCAGCTTCTTGGATTGTGGCTAGACTGACGTTTACACCCACATTAATTGTCGAGCGTTTATCCGGCTCAATTTAGTGTCGGCCTGAGTGTGAGATTAATTGAGGTTAGTTATTGTGTGTAATGATTGTTGCGTAAACAAAACCTTAGGTCCACTTCGTGCTTTGAACAATTTAGGGATGGTCATTTCGAGTACTTCAACATTATGGCCCAAAGTAATGAGGGTTGACTTTGAAGGAAAATATTAATCTGATACATTTTCTAGAAAGCAGTAGCCAAAGAAAGACGGCAGAGAATTGTGGTGTTAGCAAGAGAACAATTAGCAACAACCAAAGACAGAAACACGATTACTTGGAGAGATACGATGATGAATGAGAAGATCTAATGCGGAAGGGGCGGAAAACTTTACACGATAAAGTCAATGAGACTACGCTGCGCTTATTCAAGATATAAGAGCAACTAATGGTCGAATTTCGACCAATGATTGCTAAAAGGTTCCCGCAAGAATTTGGGGTTGCAGATTTCCAAGGACCTAGTGATTGGCTAGAGAAATGTAAACTTCGGCATGAAATTTCCCGGAGATTTTTGTGTGGTGAATCCAATGAAGTGCCTGAAGAGTTTGTCCAAGACTTCAAAGAAAATTTTTCCAACTTCAGCAAGGGCTTCAATAATAACGACATTTTTAACGCTGACGGGTGCGGTCTCTTTTTCAACGCGATGCTTAACAGAACCCTAGCTATAAAGGGCGATAAATGTAAGAGTGGAAAACATTCCAAAGAACATTAACAGCTCTGTTGTGCGCTAGCCCAAGTGGAGAGGAGCTAAAGTCCCTGATCATCGATAAATCAGCTAGATCAAGTGCTTTCAAAAATCTAAATCCTGAAAACCTAGTCACTTAGAGATCAAACCGATCCGCGTGGATGATTGGTGCCATATTTGAGGATTGGATCAGAAATATCTACAACGAAATGATCATTTTCCCAACATTTGACAATTGCCCCAGTCACACTCATGTAAAAATCCCACAAATGTTATCATTTTCTGCCTTCAAACATGGTATCACAAATTCAACCTCCTGACCAAAGGATTATCAAAATGCACTACCATGCCTAGCGCATGCAGTGGGCTATGGCAAAATTGCATACTGATGATTTTCATGCGGAAGGAACTTCATCTGTTGCTCCAGTTAACGCTTTGGATAACTTTCGCTTGGTGTGAAATTCAACCAGAAATAATACAGAAGTGTTTTAGCGAAGCCGGATTTGTTCAATCTCTCGAGTGGGATTCTGTCGCTTTATTAGACATTCCACCTCCATTAGCAGAATTCGACGGAATAGATTTTAAAGATTTGTTTACTTGGTAACACACTGAACCAGACCCAGATGCTATTTTATGGGAGATACTGACTGCGGTACACCCCTACGGAAGAGTAAGAACTAAGTGGAGAATGACATGGGCACCATAGAAATCCCAAAAGTGACTGATGTCGGGTAGCTTTTAATGCAACTGAAATCATTTGCTGTGGAAAAATGCCCCAGCATGCTGATTGTGTAGCTTGTGCTGAGAGCGCTTTTTCAGGTAAGAGTAGGAAACAGACAAAGATTACCATTTTCTTCAAAGAAATGATTTTAGTTGCGACATGCATACTGCGTTTTGAATTATTATGGCACTATGATTGCACTGCACTTTCCGTTACGTGAGGCGTCGTCTCATGTGTTCGAAACGGGTTTATGTGAAAATAAATTTCATACTACACTGCTCATAGCGGGAAGGTAGGTTGCGCAAAGTTTTGGCACAGAACCTCCGTATGTTGACCACTTTAGTCCAGTCCTCTGAGTGGCCAACCTACGGAGGTTTTACTGTACTTTAGAAATCCGTGAGAATATTTGTAGCTCGGGATGCGGATGAGGGTATGCGGGTGTTTTCCGAGCTGGTTGATTTGGTTGCAGACGTTTCATCATCAGGCTAGACGACATCATCAGTGCGATTTATGCGAGCCACTTCGATCTGCAAGTGGCTCGCATAAATCGCACTGATGATGAAACGTCTGCAACCAAATTTACTGTACTTTGTCAGCTCCATCACTTCCCAGTCATTACACGGATGAGCTGATCATTTCTAGACAGAGCTCCGCATAGGGCAACCACAGCTGCGACGGAAACAGTCAGATCGCGGTATATTCATTATGAGTCCAAAATCCTTCCGAAATTGTCCTTCCTCTGTACATTAACGACGAGTTATGGCAAACGGTTCCAGTCATTCGCTACACGGGTGGATAGGGCAAGATTGGTTAGCACTCGGAGTCTTCGGTTTGAATAATTTCCATTAGTGTCTTCGAGTCGAAGTTCCACCGTTAAGATGAAAGAACTGCAGCTCTCCTCAAAGGATACGTTGAGTGAATTAAACCACCAGGGCGGCGACCGCAATCCAAAACGAACATGATCAGTTTTTGGAGCCGGAGAGGATAAGATTGTTATAACGCCCGCACGGAACTACAACTCTCAGTGCAACGCAGTATTCGACTCGTAGCACAAGACAGTAGAACAAGTCACTTTCGGAAGTACGCAAAATGTATTATCCCTGGCATCAAACACGACGCTTCGCACAATTTAAGACGGCTCCATCAGCGGTTAGCTTGGTGTTAAACTGACGCCCGTGTGTCTAGCCAACAGGAAACAGGTGAACTCGGCGCGCGCAGATGCCACGAGGTTAGGTGACGTAAGTCAGTAACAGATATAGATCTGCGCCATTTGACATTCTCAATCATGTTATTTTCGAACTTTTTGGAAGCATAGGAGGCAGGAAAACCGTACTCAAGCGAGGTGAACAGGAGTCGAAAGAGCACCGACGTCCGACGACAGAAGCTTCTTCATATGGCATGGATTGAATTGCGACGCGCAATCTCAATGTGGATCGTGATTGGCCGGAAGCGAACCTTGACCAATTCGACCACTAGGACCGTCGCTGAAGGTACAGCTTCTAGAGGAATTAGTGGGTTTGCTCGGGTACTTTTTTCACAGTTTATACGTTACTGGGACCAGGAGCTGCTTCTCATTTAATCGACGCAGTATGGTGTTTCAATTTTAATCAAAGGTGGAACTGTAATGGCATCTCTGATTCGTGACAGCGTCCTGCTTCATCTCAATGACTAAGCGAGTATGAATCTCAAGGAGGATAACGGCCACAACCAAATACCAGACAATTGAATTGGTCTTCCATCATTTCCTTAAACTAAAAATGACCATATTGGTGGTTAACTGTGATCACATAATGTCGCAGAACTTGGTCATTCAGGGACAAACAGTTTATTCAGCAAAACAATGTCAACAAAAATAACAGCCTAACAAGCATGCAGTAATCTCGATATAAATAAGTAAGTCATTGCCATAACTAACGATCCAGCCGCGCTCATGAGATTCCTCTTTTGTATCAGTTAAACAAACCTGCTCCAGCGAACCAATCAGCGCGTGGACCAAATATGCGCAGGCGTCCAATCAACTGCCCC